CAGAAGCCAGTAATGGGGAAATATTTATAAATACATCACATCCAAACAACCGAGTAAGGATGATAAAGCCCCGACTTGAATTGAATGATTTACAGGAGGACTCTACGGACATATATGTGCCGAGTGTGCTGGAGCACTACTCTCAAAGGCCCGATCAATTGGAAGAACTATGCTTAGCAGATTTTGCAGCATGGTTCAGATTTTGCAAAACAAGCAGAAATGTTTCTGATAATAACGAAGAATACAACGCAGTAGAGAACGAGGATGACACGACAGCTGCACTTCCATTGGCATTAAAGGATGGATCAGGATTTCTAAGGAAAAGCAAGCAAGCCCTTATTCTGCGTTGGAAACGTTTTAGCGTTGAAAGTTCAAGAGCCGATTTCTTCAGAGAAACCGCCATGATGTTTCACCCATGGAGAAATGAGGAAACAGACTTATTAAATAATGACGTCGAGAGTATTTGCAATTCACACAAGGAGCAAATTGAGCTGAATAAGCTCAAATATGACAAATTTTCATCGAACGAACTACAACGGATTTTGGAAAACCTTCATGTCACAGCGGAAGAAACAGCTGATGATCGAGCTGCCTCACAACTTTTAGATCCCGAATTTAGAGCTCTAGCCCTTCCAGAGCAAACAGAAGACATTTATGTTTTTCAAGAGCACAACAATACAAAGGAAGAGGAAGAGGCGGTTCGATTAATTAAACTCCCACCTCTAATATTAGAAGACCATTTACTGGCAATGGTCACTTAACAGCAAACAGAGGGAATACTTTGCTCATGTAATGCACAATGTAAGTAAAAGGGAAATCTTCTTCGAATATGTCGGAGGCGGTGCTGGAGTGGACAAGAGTCGGCTTATAACAACTATATATCAATCGTTGACATTGCGAGCTAATAGTGTACCAGGAACCAACCCCGAAACAGCCAAGGTGTTACTCTGCGCACCCACTGGCAAAGCAGCATTTGGAACTGTAGGCCTAACCCTTCATTCGGTTTTTTCACTCCCCGTCAACCAGTCTTCCGGCGATCTTCGGCCACTAAATAGTGACACATTAAACACAATTCATGCCAATCTCATAGATATTAGGATTAATTTCGGTACTTTGAGCTCACTGAAATAATGCGCCAGCATGAAGATCAAGCATTTGCCATCGCTTTAAATAACATGTCAGAGGGAAATATGACACACGCTGACATCCAATTAATCAAAAGCAGGGAAAAGACCTCTAATGAGATACCGAACGAAGCCATCCATATATGTAGGATGTAGCAGAGCCACAAGTGCCAATGGGTTGTATATAATCGGGACTTTTCTCCCCCGAACCCATTTGGACCGCAGGATCCAATTAAAACTCAACTTAATAGGTTGAAGACAGATGGAGCATTAACGACATGCTACAGATTTTTGACTGAAAAATCGGAACAACGTCTAGATATTTATTATCAAAATGTAAGGAGCCTAAACAAGCATATTGAAGATATCAGATCAGACAAGCTGATTTGTTCTGCTGATATTCTATGCTTTGCCGAGACATGGGCCTTAACTCATTTGCAACAGTTAGGATTTCAATCTTCATTGGCTAAGGTCGCCACAACAAAACAGGAAACAGCAATAGATTGGGTATGGACAAACATGGATTCTGCATGACCTCATGTATCACATATGAAACACCATATAGTGACCATGACGGAATAATTTTAAGCTTTAGAAAATAGATATATTATATATATAGATATATGTTAGAATCAATATTATTAAATTTAAGTTTGTATGATAATATAAAGTGTAAGTCATAGATGTAATTATTGTAATTTATATATCATATAAAAAAGTATTATAGAATAATAAATATTATTATATGTTATATATTTTCTAATTTCTATAAATGTTATAATTTGTTTTGTTTTCCATTAATTTAATGTGAATTATCAATCAGCTTAAAAAATTAAAATTTATGTAAATGTCTAAAAGATCTATTTACCTCAATAACTAACCTTAATTCGAATAGAAGATTGTTTATAGCAAAGAACCTGGCTAGAAAGAACTGGCAAAATGCTTTCCGTTGGATGCAAACCGTTGGCAAGTCACGTTCTCAAATGTAGTCATAGATATAGTGGTTACTAAAAGAAATGCACCTCTGAAGGGTATTATAGCTTGTTTTTTAATAGCTTACTTAATTTTGTCCGTTCTTCTGGGTTTAAATGGTCGAGCTAAATGTTACTAATTTCACTTTCTTCCAATATAAATACAATAAACTTGCTCCTGCAGTTTTCTGGTCCGGCTGTACCGCACATTCCAGCAAGCTCAAAATATGCTAAGCCTGCTGTTGTGGTGGTGGTGCATGCCGTTATGCATATGGTCTGGTGTACTTGCGCCTTGTACTGGTTGAACATCCATTACCATAGATTGCTAACCTCACAGGAAATGGGTGTTTATAAGAATCTCTAGCTACTCAATATTGGTGTGTCCTTTGGACAGTATATTGCTCAGCCTGGAATATTCTTTTGATGTGCATTAGGTCTGTCTAACTTCCAGACTGCTTCTTTGTATTGATTCATGATATCTTTATAGGGTTGCCAAAGTTTGGTCCTATAACTTTCATTAAAGGTTGACGGCATGGATTGATTGAAAGAGGTAGATAAAATTTTCTCGATATTCTCCACCTCTGTATCTAGCTCTTGAGTATTTCTGGTTTTATTATTATTCCTGCTTATTTCTTAGCCTTTAGTAGCTGTCGCAGTAAATTTATCCCATACTGTTCTTTTAAGGTTTCGATATTTGAGAGGAGTACTGCTTTGCTCGCGAATGTTGAAAAGTATCCAGGAGTGATCCGACATATATAGCTCCTTGGAGACCCTTTAGTCATCTACGGTAAGGCGATCTGTCTTTGTAGATAGCGTGAGAGCCAGCAATTCCTCCCATCCCTAAAGCCTTTCCGAACTTGGCAATATGAAGGTTGGCTTATCGCCTCTATTACATATGATTAAATTGCGATTTAGGATGTAATGTATGAGTGACTCACCTCTGATGTTTGTTCTGGAGCTTCTTCATAGAGTGTGTCTTGCGTTTGCGTCACAACCTATTAGGATGTCTTCTTCTTTGTTGCCATCTGTTAATTCCTTGAGTGATTCTGGTGGCACGTCTCTATCGTGTGCCACAAAGAAATTACTTTTCTTTTGTTCCACCCTTACCTTTGCGGTATCTGCTGTTCTATAATTTCAGCAAAGAAATTCATTTATATCTTTATTGTTGAGAATGCTTACCCTTTGTATACCTTCATTTCGTTTGTGGAAAATGTTGTAGTTGGTGCTGTTGAGCTCTTCGACTGTGTCATCTCTGACCCAGGGCTCCTGTATTAGGCTAATGTCGATGCCCCTCTCATTTGTAAGTATTGTCAGACTACTTGTAGCACTTTTTGAGTGCTGCAAATTTATCTGGTCGCATATTAATTGTTTATTAATAGTCGTCTATTCCTGTTACAGACTTGTTCTGCAGCGTAATGTACCTCAGGAGTTTTTCGCCTGACTCCTCTAGAAGAGACATCCGAATGCGAACACGAGGTCTCTTTGGGATATCCTTAGCAGGTAGGAGCCTCAGTTTGAGGCCTTCAAAGAAGCTAATTTTGTCAATAATGTAGCTTAATACTAGGCTCGACAATCTGACGTCTATCGCCACCCAACTCTCCTGAATGGTGTTAGATCAGGAGTTTTCGTCTGTTACCGACACTTGCAGGCAGTCTGTGGCCACATCAAGAAAGTGTTCAGGTGTTTTTGTACTTGTTTAAATGGGTGCCCAATTCAGTGGGAAACACCCACCACTGAATTTAAATTGCTGATAATGCACTTACATTCGCGTTAAATATTATACATATGTATATACATATGTAAGTGAAAATGGGGTTGATTTGAAATACGAAATAAAAGGAGACTTTTATTTTATAACAAGATATTGTTACAATTAAAATTATTATAGAAAAACGGGTCCGATGGTGAGCGAAGCGATGTGTCCATTCAATTCCGCTAAGGTCCGGATTCGGCTGACCAAGAAAAGTAAACGCGTGCGGAGCAGTGTCGATCAGAGCTAACTCGGCTGGTGGTCGAAACGAATGAAAAGAGCTGCGCGCAGGATCGTTATTTTTTCGAATGAGGAGTATCTGCTGCGGAGATCATCCTTTTTGTTTGCTGAGGTGGCGTACAGGCGCGATGCTCTGGTGTGTTGTGTTATCCCGCGTGGGGATGTATGAGTGTGGTGTATTGTAGTTGGTTATACTAGGGTGTGTCATTATTTTCCGGGTGAAGCGGTGTACTTGGCGGGATGAGTTTATACTCATTTAAACAGTACTGTTTGTTTCAAATCCCTGCTACTTGAGTTTTTTGGGCAGAGTTTCCAACATTTCGTTATGGGAGCGATTCCTTTTCTTCGTGTTTTTTTTGGCGGTCACCGCGGAATGTTCCGATTGCTTCCTTTTCAGGAAACTCTTATACTTCTCCACAACCTGTGTCTGGTGCTTAATCTCCTCTTCGTCAACTGAGGGGCCAGCAGCCTGATCCTTGGCTATCTTTCCGAGTACGAAGACTGTCTTCTGGTACCGGCTCTTCCTCTGCTGATTTTGAGATTTCTTTCACTTTTACGTTGTACCTCCCCTTTGGCAGCCAGTGTGGTCTGGTTGGTACTCTTAGCTGCTTTGGAGGTTGACGGTTAGTTCCATACCTATGTTAGGTTTAAGGTACTTTGATTGGAATCCCCTGTTTTTGTTGCTATTACTACTGGCGTAATTTGGCTCCTACGCCCGGTAGAGCTTTTTATCGTCTCCTGGTTGGAAGAAATAATGTTTGCCATTATCCTTGCTGTCGTTCTGGTGGTCGTCAAGGTGTCAGTTGTTATTGTTGTTATTTTGTTGTTGTTTGTGTTCATATTTAGTCCCACGAATCATCCGGAAAAGGTTGGTCACACATCCGAAGAGCCGATATCCGGCATAGGAAGGGGTTCGCGATCAGCTACCCAATTACCGTCCGCTGATCATTCACTAATGCACTCTACTAGCTACACCGTGCCGTCCAATCTAAAGCTAGTATAAGAGTAGTATACTAGTAGAAGATCGTGTGTAACCCAACATTTTATACTCTCGCGATTTGCAAATCTCAAAGTCGGAAAAATACTCTCAGAAGTTTCAAATTAAAAAACGTTGACGAAGAACTCAGCAAGAACAAGCAATATCCTAAGAAACTGAGTGGGTTCCAATCAAATTTAGTATCTTATCAATTTCTATATATCATCAGACGTAAACTTCAATTCATAATTACATTTGCAAATGGTTTCAAACCCGATGGAAAGTCAAATACAGGATCATCGGGACAGATTTCATTAATTTTTGACACTACTTAAGTACGCTAGAGCGTATATTTCCAAGCAATTTTATAAAGATAACTCACACACTGACCGATATACTCGACATAACGTCTGCTATATAGATTAACTAATACAATCTAATATATAAAATTCTCGTATCACGGTGCTTTTTGCCAAACTTCTCCGAAACGGTTGAAAGGTTGAAGTATTTCATGAAATTTGGTGTGTTTATCGGCCAACATCTATTTTTTATACCCCTAAATGTTTAAGTTGGTCCATCACAAATGTTATTATTTTTAAATTTTTAGGACAAAATTTTTCGTTTAATTTTTATATGATTCAGCATTGAAATATATATACTAGATCTATTTTCTTTATTTTCACCCTTATACGATCAACATAAGAACTTTAATCGCAATTCTTATATTATTCCGATCCATCAACAGATCCACAAGCTGGCAATCGAATATAATAATTGTGATATACTATAAATTTCATGTATTTCATCAGCTATCCCCGCCATTACGGAGTAGGCAAACATGAAAACGAAGCCGGCTTCCTATTTATCAGTTTCTTAACAGTTTTTGCCATTTTTTATTTTATTGGTCTTATTTGTGTCTCGATCGTAGTAGGCGCTTCTGTACATATCATTTTAATCTATCAGTGCAACTCTCAAGTACCATATTCACATTTGCTTAGTAAAACATTCAATATGTTATGTAATGTTGAGTTCTTCAGTTCGATAAAGAGCATCAAAATATTTGCAAGTATGTGAATGAAGGAAGTGAATTTTGAATTGACAATACTGATGTATATGCTCCTCCAATAAATGAAAATTATTAAGTTATGAATTACCAAACTGACCGGTTTATCAGCTCCCATGGAGTTGCCTGGCGTATCTTCGGTTTCCAAATCCATAAACAGGATCCAGCAGATATCCATTTAGTTGAGCATCTCAAAAACATGAACGAGATCGTGCTAAAATAATTTGGTCGGGTACAAGTATAGGTATATAATACATTTAATCTAAGGCAGACTGAGTCCTTTTATCTGTGACAATTTTTGGTTTATGTCACCTGAGCATTGCCTTTCCAAAATATACGTAAAGAAATGCACAACAGTATCCAACGTGTGAAGATACTAGAATTGCTAGAAGATGATAATCATTGAGACAGTATGCTTCCTGAAGCTACTTTAAACTGCATAGGAACCCAAATTCGTCTACTATTTGTTTCGATTGACTGATGATATATTAAAACTTTCTCAAAACAACTTTTAGTTATTGGCAATAGAAAATTTCCTGTACATGAAAATCCTGGATGCATAAAATTACCGACCGATTTCTGCACAATCGTCGACTCACAAAATACTCTCATCGACACAAGTGTATCTCAGTGTGCATACAAAATAGAAAAATCTTGAATAGCTGGCAGAAAGGGCAAGTTCGATCGCTAGATTGTTAAATTATATTCTCAATTTAATGGCTATACATTTGTCTTTATTTCTAATTCCAACAACTTAACACTTATTACTCGTTATTCGAGCTTCTCTACTTATTACTCGTTATTCGCTGTCTAGTTGCTTCTGGCAATTTATTGTAGGTTTGATTTTGTTCCATCATTTGTGTTCGTCCCACTATAAATTTGCTTTGATTTGCCATCTTGTGGATCTCGTCGATGGAACGGATTAATATTAAATAAAGGCAGATTAAAATTTGGTCTGAGCATATAAGGATGAAAGGTGAATTTTATGTATTTTTCAATGCTGGCATCACGTAAAATAAAACAAAAAAACATGTTTCCAAAATTAAACATTGAGGTGGGGACATTTCTAACAATAAATACAAAAATTAATATTGGGCGTTTCTCTGACGTACCCGATAAGCACACTTAATTTCATCAAAATCGGACGAGCCCGTTCCAAAAAGTTTGGCAACAAACACCGTAAGTCTCTCCTCTCTCTCGCTCTCTCTCTCTCGCTAAGACAGCTAATATAGTGACCGTAATATACTGGTATATATTCAACCGGAGTTTGAATTCGGATATTAATTCATATGGGGGCTAATGTAAGTATGACCCGAGAAAGAGACGCCTCTCTAAATTTCTTTAAGATATCTCACTACCGTTATAACGGAATAAAGTCATCCCGAAGTTCGAAAATCTTTATATAGGAAAATTTTATGTAAAAATTGACCCGGTTTACCTTGTTTTTAAGTCAAGAGCTTATCTATCAGGGTCATTTCATGTCCAATCGTCTAATTAGTTGTACGCGACCACCCACCGATCGAATGAATTTTTTGATGGAAATATTGTTTATCATTAAAACCAAGTTTGGCAAAGGAAAGATTTTTTGAACAATTTTCCTGAGAGCATACGAAACTTGAAAATTTCACTGTTTTTCCCGATTTATGAGTTTTTTTTTTAATATGTCAGGAAACTTACTGAATATTAAACAAAAGAACGCTGGTGAGTTTACAGAGGGCCATTTTATAAAACAATTTATAAAAATTTTCAATTTGGAAATCGTAAAAGCTAACCATCACGGAAATTTTGGCCTCAAAATTTTTATATTATACCTTAACATATCTACAAAAATTCTGAAATTTTCAGGGTGTGCTCTTTTTTCGTTTCCCAGATATGAATTTTTGAGGCAACGATAGCCTGCATTAAAGAAACAATATAATCAACAAACAAAATGGAAAATAAAGAGCAGCCTAAGTTATCAATAACTAAGCTGCTAGATAACAAAGAAGATATGACCCAATTATGATAACACTAGAAACCAAGGACTTGATATGTTGGTTCAGTGTGGGTTGGAGAGCATGCGCCTAAAAAGTTGTTTGCTCTCCTCATTAACAATATTTTTCGCAGTGCAAGCTTAGAGGGAATTACCGGTATCTAAATTGTTACCGACTTTATGATTACTTATTAGGTATTACAGATAAGTAGTTGAACAAAGCTATATACTCTGTAGCAACATGTTGCGAGGAGAATAAAAAGTAATTTCAGCTTCAGATTTAATGTTTTGAGCTACTACATTCTCTGATTCAGCTCTTTCGACGACGCAGATAGCTATTGCGGTGGACGACCCTTACATCATATATGCATATGCCTGAGGTAAAAATGGGCAATGGACCGTTCACTACTTACAGTTTAAAATGGAGTATATGAAGCTGGGAATAAGGACTACAATCCTATTTACCATGTAACACAATTCTACATATCTACAATATTCTTCACTTTTGTAATATTTCAAGTAAGAAAGAACACAGTTTGCAAAATCTCAAAGGTTGGAAAATATTTGTGGCAAAAATTTTGAATTTGAAAAATTTTGCTTATGCATTCAATCATATTCAAATTAACGTACAACTATATTCATTATAGATTCTCT